GCTCCCGGCTCAGTGCAGAGCCTGCTTCTCCCTCTCCCTCTGCTTGTGCTCTTCTGTATCTCTCTGTCAAATAAATAAATGAAATCTTTTAAAAAATAAAAAATAAAAATAAAAACAGCATTTCATAGATTCTTCAAATATATCTGACACACATTTTTTTTCTCCCTATTACCTACTTTCATTTTAAGATGCCCTGTGTCCCTGCATATTTCCCTAGATATTATACAATATTTTATTACTATGATGAGACTATTGCTATACTTTCAGAATAATTAAAATTTTCATCCATAAAGCAGTGTCATTTCTACTGAAAGATACTTTGATTGTCTCAATATGTTAATTGTTCAGGAAAAAAATGCATGAAATGTGAACCAGGAGGCTTTTACTTTTATATTAACAAGTAATTAAATAAGATCACTTTTTTTAAATGTCTGACACATAAGATATGCAAATAATGTATTGACAATTCAATAGTATTTTGGGGGGCTATCTTTTTTTATATTGATTCACAATATTTATTTAAGTTCTAATCAAATAACACATGCATATGAATTCATAAAAACCATAAAAGCACCAGTTTCCTCTCTCAGTCCTTCTTAAACATAGTCCTACTTTCTAATGGAAGCAGATTCTGTTTTGGATTATTTTCATGGATTTATAACTCAAAAAATTTCTAAATAATAATGAAAAATACCTGATTAGTTTTCTACACTTCTGAGGAAGTAAATTATATGTTCTCAAAACTCTAGAAAATTTAGAATGCTTTAGGGGGTGCCTGGGTGCCTCAGTCGGTTAAGCATCTGACTCTCAATCTCAGCTCAGGTCTTGATCTCAGGGTCATGAGTTCAAGCTCTGTGTTGGGCTCCACACTGGGCCTGGGGCCTACTTAAAAAAAAAAAATGCTTTACAACACTTTTGAAAATATATTCTAAATCAGTTCTGAACACAGATTCTGAATATTTAAAAATACATAATCAGTGATATTGGTCAGTGATTTTCATGCTCATCAATATAGGCAGAAACACAAATCCGGGTTTACATATTTATGACTGGTTATTTTACACCCTGAAATTTTCAGTTTTCTACTCTTACCTATTTAATTCAATTGTGAAGCATGAGAATAGAGTACAAACATATAAATACATAAGATCGATATGTCAATGCAGTAGTGTTAATAAAAATTTTTGCTAACATTAGAGTTATGAAAGTAAAGATCATTTGTATTCTACTTACAAAATGATGCCAATAAAATTTACGTAAAGGATTATTGGAGGGACTGTATTAATATTTAAAGCACTTAAAAGAGTTCTTGTCAAAGTAAGAACTAATGAGAGAGACACAGAGAGATAGGGATGAGCGGAGAACAAATTAGTTCCAAAATTAGCTAATTAAATATGAGATGTTACCTAGAGTTACTATCAAGGGAAAGGGGAAAAAAAGGAACAAAGCTTGTTCAACTATTTTTAAATAAATACTTCATTTTTAATGGAGAAGTAGTACCAGTATAGAAAGTCAACATGGTGCCTCGCTAGTCTTCTATAACTTACTGGAAAATTGTCACCTAGCCCAATTCTCTTTGCCTCCACAGAATTCTTTAACATCATGCATTTCTTTCTGCATTATTCTTTGCTTCATGTGAATTAGTTTTGTTAAGAAGATTGATGACTATAAATTCCTGCAAGCAAGAGGATGTTTATTACCATTATTACTATTGTTGCTGTATTATTTTGTTTCTCTATAGTCCTCAAGACCATGCAGAGCAAAAGTACTCAGGTGGTACATACTTAACAGGTATTTCCAGATCAATATCTCTCTAATAACCTAGATACTAAATTTAGCTTTTCTCGGTTATTTTTATATGACATTAATTTGTTTTCTTTTATAAATTTATTTACCCCAAAATGTATGGCTAGTCATTGCTTACTTGCCATTTGAAAAGCAATAGTACTTTATCTTCGACATGGCTTTTGGCAACTACTGTAGGATAAAATGTTATCTTGCATCCCTAATCATTGTATTTTCTCTTTGTAGTTATGTAAATCCCTAGATTTATATAGCAATTCTACTGTATCATTCAAATTTCATGTTCACATTCTATAAATACGGATCTTACTAATTGCCAAGCACAAAAGAAAATATATCCACGGGAATATTTCTGGAGATTCTCTTGACTTCTAAGTAGAATGAATTTCAGAAATGGAAGATGTTATTTTAATATCAGAAATTATCTCATGTCATTTGCCATTAAAAAAATAAGATGAAAGGTTTATCCACAGTCGCTCTTATAGACTGAAACATCTGTATGCTCTGTGCACAACAGATGTCCAGTAAATGTTTTGAGTGACTGTCAGTAGTGACTCCTAATGACTTCATAATGAAGTAATTATTCAAGGGCCACGTTAAAACTGTGTTTCTTAGAAATTACATAACGACAGTTTTCAGTTGACATACACTATTATGTACACTTCAGTAATATACATTCTATTTTAAAATATTATTTAACTTGAATAAAATTTACTAATTTAGAAACCTTCAGAATAGTATTATAACAAACAATGAAAATAATTAAAATATGCGTAGCCATGAAACAATAAAGTCTTATCAAAAGTGTTCAAGTAAAAGATGACAATGAAATGAATGATTAGTTTTCAAAGTGACGGCATCTGCTCTGTGAATAATCCAAGAAATGCTTTCCAATTTCCATGCATCAACTCTTATTCAAAAGAGGGAATTTCTCAAAAGAGACATATGGGACCAAATGAAATGTAGGGTACTGTGAAATTGGAATTTTAAAATGCATCTCTTATTTATACCCCGCTTACTTAAAAAAATGATTTGAAGCATATCAAATGGATACATCCTCAAAAATCTTTCTTCATAAATCATTTTTTTCTTTTGTTTTATTTTTTTCCTTCTTCTTCTGGTAAAAGTCGATACCATAAATGTCCAAAAGATGCCAGAGTGCTGTATTCATTTGCTCTAGGTGAAATAACAACTCCAATACACATGACTATCATTTTCTGTTAATTGCCAAAAAGTTGTATTTGCAGCATTGATGAAGGGGTCTGGATCTGAATATTGAAATAGCCCCGATACATAAAATAACTATAAATTAATTGCTCTAAATATGTGTATGTATTAATGTAATTTGCCCAAGTGAATGGCATAGTTTAAGAAATGATAATTTGGAGGTTTTAAAATAGTGTGTTAGAGACACTGCCCACATCAAGAAAAGGCTATTCTATTGACACACCTTGTCCAAATCCAGTTAAATAGAAGTAGCTGCAACTGAACATTTGAAGACAACTGTTTTTGACTTGGGTATTTAAAACTAACTAAATGGTAATATAAAGAGCTGTTTATAACATCATACAATTTTAAAGTGAAATGAGATTATGATCATCCACAATGTTCTATTTCCGTTTCAAAGGAGGAAATGAAGGCAAGGAGAGGCTGAGGTTTAACACACGCCATGTAACTTTTTGATGGGTAGAATAGTGACTAAAATATCATTTGCCTCACTTGCCAAATAATGCTTTTTCAGCCACTGAAAAGACTTTAGAAATCTTGTGGTGGGTTCATGTGTTTGTGGGGAGGAAACTCAGCTATCTACTACAGTGAAATGGGTGTAACATGAGAGTCTCAATAAAATTGATGTTTTAACAAAATAGTAAAAGCAAAAAAAAGGTTTTTTTTGAGTCCCTGTTCATAATATTTACTTTGGAAGAAAAGACGAGATGGGGGAAAAGCTATACTATCTTTTTCTTGGTGTATTAAAATATTTTTATTGAGGTAAAATTTTATAACATAAAATTTGCCATTTTACCTATATAGTTCAGTGACATTAATTACATTAACAATGTTGTACAACCATCACTACTATCTTTTTTCCAAAAAGTTTTCATCACCATAAACAGAAATTCTGCGGCTATTATGCAATAGTGATCCATTCACTCTTTCTTCACCCCCTGGTAAATTCTAATCTATTTTTTATCCCAATGAACTTGATTACTTTAGGTATTTCATATAAGTGGAATCATACAATATTTGTCTTTTTTGGGGGGGTCTGGCTTATTTCACTTACATATTTTCAAGGTTTATTCATGCTGCGACATGTATCAGAACTTCATTTTATTTTTATGGGTCAATAATATTCATATATATATGTACACCATAATTAGCATATATATTCATCTACGGATGAACAGTTGGGATGTTTCCATCTTTTGGTTATTGTCTCAGCTACCTTTTGTGTTTAGATAATTAATAGACCTTTAGATAATTGCTTATTTTAGTGTAGCATCAACTTTTGTTTCTTTGTTGGTTAATCAGACATTTGAAAAGAAAACAATTTCAGCTATGATAATTATCAGCACAAAAACAAAAGCCAGAATTAGAGCTTTAAATTCTTTTTAATTTTTTCTCTTTGGTATACACTTTGTTTTAAACTACTTTGTCTTGACAATTTAGAATATGGTTAGTTAAAGGGAATAACTAGAATGCATAGTTGAATATTGTAATTTTCTATTTTAAAAGTTTTCCCTTTTTCTTTGAACATTAATATAATCATTTAGTAATGAATATATATACTTTCTATACTGAGTTAATGAAAATATTTCTTTAATATGAAACACTTAGAAAGGATTCTTAATACTAATGCCAAAAATGAAAGCTAGATTAATGACAACTACTTGTGGGAGAAAGTTCATTCAAATACCATCAATAGGAGAACATGGAAAAATTAAATTCAGCTTAAACTTTCTGGCCAAACCATTTGTTTTAGTATAAGTTATTTTAACTACCTTCTACCATGAAAGTTCTATTTAAAGGGAAACAAAAAAGAAAACAATTCTAAAGCATCAAAAAAATCAGAACTTGCTATTAATTTGCTACACACAAAATATAGATAGTATTTGTTTTTATATTAACATATTAAATGTGTTTGGGGAAAAGGGAAAATAATTGTTTTATTAAAGTATTGAATTTTAACATTTTTCCAGATGAATTCAAGTTCTTTATGAAAAGGCTACCCATGAATTATTTCCTCAACACCTCTACCATAATGCATTTGTGGACAATGGATTCTAATTTTCAGCGCCGCTATGAACAACTGGAGAACAGCATGAAGCAACTATTCCTAAAGGCGCAGAAAATTGTACACAAGCTCTTTAGCCTTAGCAAGAGGTGTCATAAACAACCCCTCATCAGCTTGCCAAGACAAAGGTAAGACATTTGTGGCAATAGAGACTACTAAGGACATTGTTTTGACGGTAAGCTCTATTTATTTTCTGAATGCAGATGTGGTAATATACATATAGCATGGTGTTATAATTTATACCATTAGAGATAATTTGAAAACAACATTTTCTCTTAAGTCTCAGAATAATAAATTTTATTTTCCAAAGCAATAATCCAATGGAGAACCCGTATACTGACACTTCCTTGTTTTTCATTTTCTTTTATTATCAGAATCAGGAAATCATTCTGTTTTGTGTGGTAGTCAACTAATAATTGTATTACAGTGAACAGAAAAACACAAACCCTACAGCTATATTGTAAGCATAGGAAGTAAGCAGGATCACAAAGTGAAATTTCTCAATATGTAATTTTCAAATAAAAGAATTTAAAGTTCCTTTTCTTTGAGCAGTGCTCATAATAACATGAATAAACCTCATTCTACATGAATCTGAAAATTGCTGGAAAAACTTATAACAATTTATATGAATAATGACAGACTATTAAAATATTTGTGTCTGAGCTAATTTTGTGAAGCATAGTTTTTGGATTTTGCAGTCATTGCTATGAGAAGTTGTATTTATTGATTTGAAGTCAGATTTTTAAAAAAACATAGCAAAATAAAAAGCTAAGGAAAACATCACCAAACAAAACTGCATCTGTATTAGTATCTCTGTTATATAATGCTTGAATTTTGACTTGATGCTTCATTATCAGGAGAAATCTATAATTATAGATTTTTTTCACTGAAAAAAACCTGAAAGTCCATACATTTTTTAAAAGTTCAATTTCAAAATAGATCATTGGCATTGTTTTTATAATTCAGTAGTTTTTAGGATACTCAAAATTTATACAAATACCACCTCTTGAGAACATTTTTGTTGTCCCAAAAAGCAACCCGGTACCAATTAGTAGTCCCTCCCCATACTCGCACACCCAGCTCGAAGATATTTGCCTCTAGAAATTTGTCTAATCTACTATTTGTCCCAATAATTTGCCTATTTTTGACATTTCATATAAATGGAATCATATAGTATGTGGTCTTTTGTGACTGGCTTCTGTTACTTAGTGTAGTGCTTTCAAGTTTATCCATATTGTAGCATGTATCAGCAGTATGGGTACGTTGCATTTGGGTTATCCATTAATTATTTGAAGGACATTTGGGTTGTTTCCACTTTTGGGCTAGTAAGAATAATGTTGCTATGAACATTCATGTACATTTTTTAAAGTGGACATTGATGTTTAGTTTTCTTGGGTATATACCTGAGAGTGAAATTGATAAGTCATAAGATAACTTTATATTTAACATTTTGAGGTAATGCCAAAATGTTTTCAAAGGTGGCTGCACCATTTTATATTTCCACCAGCCATGAGTGACAGCTCCAAACATTCCACATGCTCACTAATACTTGTTACTATCTGTCTTTTTGACAATAGTCATCCTAGTAGATGTGAAGTAGTACATTTTTGTGGTTTTAATTTACATTTCCCCAATGACTAATGATGCTGAACATCTTTTATGTGTTTATTGTCCATTGTGTATCTTTTTTGGAAAAATTTCTATTTAAATCCTTCCCTATTTTTAAATTGTCTTTAATTTTTATTATTGAGTTTAAGTGTAGTTCTATATTGGGATGCCAGTCTCTTATCAGCTTTATGATATACAAATATACCCTTCCATTCTCTGAGATGTTTTTTTACTGTCTTTGTGCATCTTTTCTCTCGCTCTCAATCTCTCTCTCTCTCGTCAGTCTAAAAGTTTGTCAATTTTTGTCATCTACTCAAGGAACTAACTTTTAGTTTTCTTAATATTCTTCACTATTTTTCTCTTCCTTAATGACTTTTCCACTTAAATCATCAGTATTTCCTTCCTCTGTTTGCTTTGTGCTTATCAAGATTTTCTTTTTCTAGTTTTGTAGAGAGAAGGGTTAGGTTATTGATTTGAATACTTTCATCTTCTTTAATATAGGCTTTCACAGCTTTAAATTTCCCTCTAAGGGCTGCTGTAAGTTTCATTATTTTATGCACCCTGTAAGTTTCTTATTCCCTGAACACATAAGATATTTTTTATATATCTGTCTGCATACTTCCAAGGAACCTTTCCTAATAGAGAATCGTGGCTGGGGAAAGCCACTGTTATTTAATTATAATGAACTTCATGCTTTATGTGTGTGGGTTAAGTACAGTTTGTAAACCACTGAAATAGATGGTTCTATACTCAAATAAAATAAGAAATGCAAGAGGATAAGGTAGGATAGGAAGCAAATTAATGAGTTTGGTTATTGAGATGTTCTGTTAAACACGTAGAGCTGGAGGGGAGGAGGGTGGGGGCATGGGGTAACTGGGTGATGGACATTGGGTAGGGTATGTGTTGTAGTGAGCACTGTGTATTATATAAGACTGATGAATCACAGACCTGTACCCCTGAAACAAATAATGCATTATATGGTAATTAATTGAATTTAAATTTAAAAAAAACTAAAAAGCAAAACAAAACAAAACAAAAAAACCAACAAGTACAGCTAGATCAGGATATATACATCTGAAGTGCAGGAGAAATTTGAACAACTGGGATGGCAATTATCAGTGCATGTGAAATTGTGAGATCGGAATATAATACCATGGAAAATGCATAGACAGGGCTGCCTAGGCATCACAGGTGGTTAAGCCTCCAACTCTTGGTTGCAGCTCAGGTTGTGATCTCAGGGTCATGAGATGGAGCCCTGCCCAGTACATTTTTTAGTATATGTGCTGCCGAAGCGAGCACTGCCCAGTACATTTTTTAAAGTGGGATGTCGTCCAGTGTGGAGTCTGCTTGTGATTCTCTCTCCCTCTCCCTGTGCCCCTCCAGCTTGTACTCTCTCTTTCTCTCTGTCTCTAAAATAAACACATAAGTCTTAAAAGAAAAAAAAGAAAATGCAGAGACAGAATCTGAAGATATTTTTAAGGGGTGAGTGGAGAAATGGAAACTGGACATGAGCAGATAATGGGGTAAAATATATCACTAGAGCTACATTAATCTCTAGTAAAAATAAAATTGTGGCGCCTGGGTGGCTCAGTCGTTAAGCGTCTGCCTTCGGCTCAGGTCATGATCCCAGGGTCCTGGGATCGAGCCCCGCATCGGGCTCCCTGCTCTGCGGGAAGCCTGCTTCTCCCTCTCCCACTCCCCCTGCTTGTGTTCTCTCTCTCGCTGTGTATCTCTCTCTGTCAAATAAATAAACAAAATCTTAAAAAAAAAAAAAATAAAATTTAAAGAAGATGTCATAAAAGTCCAGGATTTGTAAGAAAAGTATGAAAATATGAAACAATCCAAGTTGGATGTGTACAGAATAAATAAGCAGAGTAAAATAAAGATGACAAAAAAAAGAATAAAAGAAAGATATATTATTTGGTACTAAATTTAATGGAAAATAAATGGAACTAAATTTAATAAACTATAGATATAAATACTTGTTTCCTAAAACTTTTAACCTAAATAAATCAGACATCACCAGAGGCTTTTCTTGACTTTCTTTTCTTAAAATATAGCATAATTCCTATGTTGGCTATTACTCATCTCACACACACACAAAATGCAGACTCCTTGCTAGATAAAAGATTTTATTGAATTAGAATTTCTTTCCATCACTGTTTTTCTTTTACTAGGAATGTGGGATTTATTTGTTTTGCTTTTTTTTTTTCAATTTTAATAGACTAATATAAAATGACATTAGGGAACAATAACAACGACAAACTAGGTACTACAGTCTGTTAGTAGGATACAGTGAAAAAAAAAGAGGTTGGATATTTGTGAGGTACATTTTCAAAATTTTCTGAAAGAAGTAGATAAGCAATACCTGTGACTCACTTCCATCTGAGATTTTATTTTTGGTCCTGCCTTTATGGAATTTTTCTCAGCTTTTTTCTTGACTTCATCCCACCCTTAGTATTGGTCTCTCACTCTAAAATGTGCAACAATAAGCAAAAACAAACAAAATGAGACCTGCAAAATGAACCTCAACTAGTAAGATGATTTCTTGACACTTTCTCTATAATGACATGTAGGTTGCAGTTTTTCTTTGTAATGCATAGTGTAATTCATCCTTGAGATAAAGCAGGATACTCAGGTTAATCTCACCAAGTTTACACTGTCACCATCGTTGCTTTCATGAATTCATGTGACATTAAAATCTTCATTTCTTACTTGAATAAATTGGGAAGCCTGTGATAATCTGGCCTCTTTAAGGTAGTGAACTTTTGCTGCTCTTCTAAAACTTTTGAGGTAAGGAACAATGACATATTCATTTCATTAAAGGACAATAATTATAGCAATTATTAAAAAATATACATACATAATCCCTACAAAATAATTCAACTACACTATTTTGTGCTGTTATATATTATTCACAAAATGGCCAAGGATACCTCGACATATTACATTTAAGATGTGTTGGTAAAAGTTTAACAACCAACTTTCCAGGCGGGGGGAACCCCTAATTTATAGCATTTGCCAATTCTTGTGATATGCATAATTGGCTCTTCTGAGCCAATATATGCAGGCAGCAGCAAACCACTAAGAATTGATTAAAATATTTTTATGAAGTTATCTCTTCTTCATTAATAGTAGAAGGTGAGATATGATAAAATCCCTTCTCTAACGTCACAGGGAAGAATAAGTTTAGGCCTATGTTATTCTTATCTGAGAACTATGTCATGCACTTCCTATATCAAATTGGCATGTGGGCCGTAACTGGTCCTCCAACTCTTTTTGTATCAGCCCCCAAGGAAAAACTGTTTTATACATTTCAAATTGTTAAAAAAATCAAAAGTAGAATGGCATTTTTTGGTTGATGAAAATTGTATGGAACTTTAATATCCATATAAAGAAGCACACTCATATGTTTACATATTGTCTATGGCTACTTTCTTTTTTTTTTGTCTATGGCTACTTTCACACTATAATGGCAGAACTAGATAGTTGCCACATAGTTACATGGTCCTTAAACCCT